ATAAAAATGAAAAAAAAAATACTACTAAAATTACAAAAAGGGTTTGTGGTAAAAGGGCAAGAGGTGTTTTTTAATTACAAATTATACTTAATTTTTTATAATTTGTAATTAAAACACACATTCAGCTCTAAATTTTCACATAACTGAGTGACACAATTTGGTCCAAAAAATTAAATAAAATTTGAAGGGCGGTCAACCCTTATGACTTAGTCATACTGAACGCTTTATTATAATCATGACATGAGAATTTTTTAAATATGATATAAAATATAATTTATTTTACAATTGTTCTAGTTCTATGAATATTTCTGGAACAATAATAAAACAAGTTTGTCGTCATTTTAGTCAATGGATGCGTCAAGTAATAACCCTGCCCTTGTGATTTCCGAGTAAATTGACTCACTAATTGCCATCAGAATCTAATGAGAACTCATATATAATGCCATCACATGAGAGATAAATCATATTATATTATACATATATACACATTTACTATATTCTGTTATATAATTCAATTTTTCATTCATCCGGAAAAAAATTTGGTATTCAAAAAACAGAAAAATTTGGGTATTTTTATGTCTCTTTAAAAAATGCTTGCTCTGTTATCAAAGTAAATTTTTAAACAAGAATAAAAACGAAATGAATTGGGATTAAAAAAATGCATAAATGATCTTGTAAGTCATAGATAATAAATTTGTGTTCTACAATCCAATCATATAATAGGTTGTCAAATATCTCCCTTCCGCCTTTTTGTATTATAAACCAAGAGCAAAAAAGCGGAAGGGAGATATTTGACAACCTATATTATTTAATTCAACAAACAAAAAATTCGTATTTTATCTCCTTGTTTGTTTAACAAATGGAATTGTGTCAAATTTTCAATAATTTTTGTTCGGACACCTGAACGCACAAAACATCTATTTTTAAAAACATTCGACGAAATTGTTTAAAATTATTCGATATAAATATTATCTCGATATCGATTTGTAAACTGTTAATAGATCGAATCGATTATGAATAAAAACATGTCGTGGGCGAGAATCAAGGACATTTGTTGAAATAATATTATATATATTTGTATGTAGATATAAACATTAGTTTCCGGTTTTATATTGATTGAAAAATATTTATTTGACCTATTGGCAAGTTTCTGGTACGTGAAATTATTCTGAGCATGAACAAGTCGAAAATTTGCATTAATTTCACTATATTTATTTTATTTATTTTATATATATATATTTATTTTTTACATCCCTTAATTTAATAAAACATTTGCTTTAATTTGATATTGAATAATTCAATCAATTATTCAAAAAGTATTTCAACTAATTTGTGATTTTAAAGATTGTCAATTAATTCACTGTATTTATTATTAATTTATTTTACTATCTTTTAAATTACTTAGTTGTGACTTATTACCTATTTATTTGACTGTATTTAGTTTTTTTTATAATTCATGAATTTTTTAAAATATCCATTAATTTTTAATTCCTAATTTACTTGAACATGTACAAATTTAATTTGGTATTAAATAATTTAATAAAAAGTTTCTTGATTAATTAATTTCCTGAAATAATTTACTGTATTATCCATTAATTTACTTTATTAATTTAGTCATTGTAATATATACTAATTCATTTAATATTCTCATAATTTATTTGACTCTATTTAGTTTTTTTTAAATTATACATTAATTTTCTTAAACATCATTTTTCACAATCATCCCTTAATTTACTCGAACATTTGTAAATTTAATTTGGTATTAAATAATTTAATCAATTATTCAAAAAGTATTTCAACTAATTTTTGATTTTAAAGATTGTCAATTAATTCACTGTATTAATTATTAATTTACTTTATTATCTATTAAATTACTTGGATGTGATTTATTATCCACTGATTTACTTTATTTATATACTCATTAAAATATTATCGAATTTATTTAATTTTCTCATAATTTATTTGACTATATTCAGTTTTTTTGTTATACATTAATTTTCTTAAATATCCATTATTTTTCACAATCATCCCTTAATTTACTCGAACATTTGTAAATTTAATTTCGAATTAATTAGTTTAATTAACTAGTTATAAATTTGCTTAATTATTAATTTAAAAAATTGTCTACTAATTTAATGTATTAAATATTATTTACTTCATTATTTATTATCCATTGACTTAAATTTTTTATCATTTATTAATGTATTTTTTGTTTATTTATACGTCTAGTTGAGTTATATGAATTTATATTATTTATCTGTTTAATTAATTATTTATCTATTTGTTTGTTTCTATTCAATAGATAATGAATAATAGATAATAGAGTAATTTAATGAATGCGGAAAATTAATAGATAATTTAGTGGAATACTGGATGATAAAAATTATAATAGAAAGTTAAATAAATTATATTGATTAAACAAGTTTAATCTAAAACTGATTAATAAATACTGAGATACATTTTCAAATAATAAAGATATTAATTATAATATAACAGAAAAATTATATACAAAATTAATGGATAAAAAAGTAAAGTAATGGATGATTCAGTAAATTATTAAATAATTTTCAGAGTAAATCGAAAAATCCAAGAAAATAATTTTTAAACAGGTAAATTAATGAATATTAAAGTATATAAATAAAGTAAGTAATGAACTAAATTGTTAGGTATTTTAGTAGGTAAATTAATGAACGACAAAACTAATTAAAAAATTATAATATAAGATAATGAAAAAATATATATTCAAAAAAATTAAATTAATGAATAATTTGATAAATAAATAGTTGATTATAAAATCAAGATAGTTTATCAAATTAATGGATGAATGAGTCAAAAACTAAATAAAAAAATGATAAGCAAGGAAATGAATTTTCAGAAATTTTAAATTTAAATTAATGAATAAAAATAACTTGAATTAATAGATAATCAAATACATTACTAGTTAATGGAGTAAATTAAAAAGAAATGAGACTTAATTATTAAATTAATGGATAGCAAAATAAATTAGTAGATGATCAAAAATATACAAAAGTTGTTATTTAAGTAAATCAATAGATAATAGAGCAATTTTATATAATATTTGTGGAAAATTAATTAATTGATCAAATTAATAGACAGTAAAATAAATTAATGGAATATATAAATAATAAAAAATTAAATAAATTAATAGATTAAAAGAATTCATTACAAATTATTTGAATTCATGGATAATCAAGTATATGAATGGATTTTAAAACAAGTTTATGAAAAGTTGGTGAAAAATTAAATAAATTGATGAATAATTTTTTAAATTAATGGATAGCAAAGTAAATTAATGGATCATCTAAATAATGTAAAATTATAAAATCATTAATTTTTTTTTTCAATTTATCGATAATTAAAGAAATTGATTAAAATTGAATAGAAATATAAAAAATCATTCAAATTGATGGATAATGAAAGAAACTGATTAAACATAAATATATTAACTGAAAATCAATCAAATTAATAGATAATCAAAGATATTGATTAAAATTGAGCAGATTCATAAAAAAATCATTTAAGTTAATTGATGATTAATAAAAATTATTAAAATTGAGTAAATTTACAAAAAATCAATCAAATTAATGGATAATCCGAAGAAATTTATTAAAATTAAGTAGATTCATAAAAAGTTCATTTAAATTATAGTATAATCAATTCAAATGATTAATATTTAGTAGGTTCATAAAAAAATCATTTAAATTAATGGATAATCAAAACAATCGATTAAAGTAATGTAAATCTATAGAAAATTAATTAAATTAATGGATAATCAAGGAAATTGATCAAAATTGAGTAGGTTCATAAAAAATAATTTAAGTTAATGGATAATCTACAAAAATTGATTAAAATTAAGTAGATTCAAAAAAAACATTTAAGTTAATGGATAATCAAAACAATCGATCAAAGTAATGTAAATTCATAGAAACTTACTTAAATTAAAGGATAATTAAGGTAATTGATTAAAATTAAATAAATTTACAAAAAAACATTCAAATTCATAAATAATCAAAAGAAATGATTGAACTGAAGTACATTTTAAAAAAATCATTTAAATTAATGTATAATCCAAAAAATTTATTAAAATTTTTTAGATTCATAGAAAACCAATGAATTTAATAGATAATCCGAAAAAAATCATTAAAATAAAGTAGATATGTATAAATTGATTGAAATAATGTAAATCCACAGAAAATTAATATTATTGATGGATAACCCCAAAAAATTGATTAAAACTAAGTTTATTCATAAAAAAATCATTTAAGTTAATGGATGATTAAGGAAATTAATTAAAATGGATTAAATCTATAAAAAATCATTTAAATTAATGTATAATCAAAACAATTATTTAAAATCAAGTTGATTTTTAAAAAATCATTTAAATTAATGGACAACCCGAAAAAATTGATTAAAACTAAATATATTTATAAAAATCATTCTAATCAATGGATAATCAAAAAAATTGAATAAAATTGAGAAAATTTACAAAAAAATCAATCAAAATGATGGATAATCAAAGGAATTGATTAAAATTAAGTAAATTCACAAAAAACATTCAATGATCAAAAGAATTGAATAAAGTGAAGTAAATCCATAGAAAATCAATTAAATTATGGATTATCCAAGAAATCCATTAAAACTAAGTAAATACATAGAACATTAATTAAATTAATGGATAATCCAAGAAAATTATTAAAATTAAGTAGATCCATAAGAAAAATCATTTAAGTTAATGGATGATTACAGAAATTGATTAAAATTAAGTAAGTCCATGAAAAAAATATTTAAGTTAATGAATGATTAAAGAAATTGTAGAATGGAGTAAATTAACAAAAAATCAATCAAATTGATACAAATAGGATAAACTATTTAAAATCAAGCCAAATTGAATGAAGGAAATTATATAAAAATATACCATCCAGTAAATTCAATAAAACTCAAGTAAAATCTAGAAAATTAATGGATAAAAGCTGCAATCCAATCCATTAGTAATGCAAAAAATCATTGGTAATGCAAATTGTTGGGTTGCTAATTAAATTGCAATATAATTAAAATGATTATTTGAATAAAATTGATAGAAGACAACCTAGCAAGTTATTAGGTAATAGAGTGAATTAGTAGATAATCAAGTATAATTATAATTATAATTATATATATATATATATATATATATATATATATACACCAGTTTTTCAGAAGTTTGATTGCACGACTCAGAAAAATGTTTTTCCTAATTACTCGTGCAAAATCAGTTCCAAAACAATATGCCCGATATTAATGAGTCATTTTAATTTATTATAAAATATAAATCATACTAATCCATTTAAAAAAATTCACAGTCAAACAATTACAGGTATGATTAATCCGTTTATAATTTTCTTACCAAAACATTTTCTCGGCAAACCAGCGATAACGGCCCGTTTTTCTTAAATAAAAACATTACTCGTACATATAAATTATTATTATATAAATATTTTACTTAAAGCCGAATACGATATTGTTATATTATAATGGAGTTCGCGACGCGCAAAATACGCCGATGACGCTTCTGAGGTTATAAATACGGGCGCGCACTTGGCTGCGAATTCAGTCAATTACCAGACTACCTAGTGGAAACATCGTGGTAAAAAAATTAGTAAAAAATTGTAAAAAATAGTTTAAACATGGGTTTGTGTTACCTAGTACTAGGTTTTGCTTTAAGTGCTACAGTGTTCGCTCAATTTCCAATCGAACGTCAACAAAGTCAGTTCCGTGTGGTTTTAGAATGGCGCGTGTTAGACTTCAGGTGGCCCGATCCTTCAATACGCGAACAGTATTTGTTGAACCAATCATATATTCCGGAGAATAATTTGTTGTCGGATGTCAAGCCTTATGGTAACAGGATTTTTGTGACGGTTCCCAGGATGAAACCAGGTGTCCCTGCAACTTTGGCCTGGATACCGGAGATTGGATTTGGGCGCACCGATCCGCCCCTGGAACCTTTCCCTAGTTGGGAAATGAATCGTAAAGGTGACTGTAATGCTTTGCAGTTTGTCCAAGGTATTGCTATAGATAACAGGGGTATTATGTGGGTTGTGGATGCAGGACGTACTGAGACTTTGACCAACAACCCAAGTATGAGGTGTAGACCTAAGTTGGTGCTTTTGGATTTGAACAGAGACGGCCAGGTGGTGAGAAGGCATACTTTTAGCGAGTACGTGGTTAAAACAAATGCTAGTTATTTGAACAAAATTGTTGTGGATGGTGGTTATGCTTATATAACTGACAACAGTGGTGCTGATCCTGGTATAGTGGTTTACAGTTTGTTGGCTGATAGAGCCTGGAAAGTACGGGAACCGAATTCTATGCGCGCTGCCAGAAACGCAGTCAATTTAGTAGTCAATGGTACGAGCATAAGTTTCCCTATTAACATCGATGGTATTGCCTTGGGCAGTCGTGAAGACGGCACCAGAGTCGTCTACTACTGCCCTTTAACCAGTTTTCACCTATACGCAATGCCTGTACACATTTTGCGAAACGAATCCTTATCCTCCGACCAAGGATTTTTACGCACCCTGGTTGCTGATGTGGGCATCAAAGCCTCCCAAACCGACGGCATGATAATGGACAACGAAGGTATCCTTTACTACGGACTTTTGGGCGAACACGCAATCGCAATGTGGGATTCCCGAGAACCCTTCTCATCAGGCCAAAGAATCATCTCCAAAGACCAAACATTTATCCAATGGGTTGACGGAATGGGTTTCGACGAAAATGGGTACCTCTACGTCGTCATCAACAGGCTCCAAAATTTCGTAGCAGGTTATGTTAATAGAAACGAGGTTAATTACAGGATTTTACGTGCCCATACCGGTACCAGAAGTTACGTTTTTGCAGAAAATGCAGAGTTGAGTTATGATGTGGAAAAGTTGCCGCATATTTCAGGAGCATCGAAATTGTCGTCGGTGGTGCTTAGTGGTTTTTTGGCTGCGTTTTTGGCAGTTTTTGTATTATAGTAATTAGGTAGTCACTAACGAATTTTGGAAGTCAGGGGAGAGGAGTAATTGTAAATAATATTTTAAGAGTAATATAATTTATTAGGTTAAAAAATTAATTAATTTTATTTAATTTGTTACCAGACTTTACCAACAATCATATACATAATGGTTCGATAAAGGCGCCACTAGTTGTAGCTTGTAAATGAACCACTAGATTTGAGTCTAAGGTGAAGCACGCTTGACTACATAATAATAATTTTGAATATTTTTTTAAAATATATTAAATCAATTTTTACTTTTTCAATTTTATATTAAATCAATTTTTGGAAAAATGAACAAATATAGTATTTAAATTTTTTTAAAATTTAGAACATTTTAAAAATATATTTGGTAATATTTAAAAAAATGTTATTTAAAAATTATTTGAAGTCGAAAGAATGTTGATTTTTTAATATTTTATGTGCATATTTTTTAAAATGTTTTGAACAACTTATTAAATTTTTAATTTGGACAGATAAACTATCAATATTTATATTTCTGAAAATTCAATCCATTTTAATAATTTTAATAATATTTAAAAATTTTGAGGCTTTAACGTTATGAACCCAAGTAGACTCTACCACATTTTTTTTTAAATAACAATCGATAAAATTTAATATTCAATTTTTTTGTGCATGAAGAACAATATTTATATTTTTTATTTGCTTTATAGTTTTCAGAAAAATAGTTTTCCAAAAGGTTTTAAAAAATTGTTAAAAATACTGATACAGTAGTTTCCAAATTTAGCAATATTTGATATCATTGAAGACACAACTTTAATGAATTTTTAAAAATACTAAAAATGAATTTTAAAATTTGAATTTTTTACTGTATAAAATTCAATATTTAAACTTTTTATTTCCAATATTATTTTGAAAATAATGTTATTGCTAAAGATTATAAAGAATAGTTAAACATACTAGTACAACAGATTCTAAATTTAAATATAAGATTAATATTAAAGACTTGATTTAATTGAATGTTTAAAAATATTTATAATATAATTTAATATTTAAATTTTTTACAGTATAAAATTCAATGTTTAAAATTTTTAAAATATTGTTATTCTTAAAAGTTATAAAAAATAGTTAAAAGTACTGGTACAATAGCTTCTAAATTTCAATATAACAATGTTATTGAACACACAGCTTTAATGGTTTTTTAAAAATACTAAAAATTAAATTTAAATTTTTTATTGTATAAAATGCAATATTTAAACGGTTTATATCCTAAATTATTTTTGTAAAAACATTGTTATAAAATGTTTTAAAAAATAGTTGAAAATACTGCTACAGTAGTCTCTAAATTTTAATATAAATATGTTATTACAGACACAAGTTTAATGGATTTTTAAAAATACTAAAAATGTAACTTAATGTTTGATTTTTTAACTCGTAAATATTAATGTTTAAACTATTTATTTATAACTAATTATTTTTGAGATAATATTTTTCTAAAAGGTTACAAAAAATAGTTAAAGTGAGAAGACATTGTACCAATATTTTTAATATTACTATGATTTCAAAGACACGAATTTAATAAATTTTTAAAAATACTAAAAATACACTTAAATATATGAAATTTTTACTACATCAATAACAATATTTATACTTTCAATTTTTAATAATATTTCTAAAAAAATATTATTGCGAATGATACTAAAAAATTGTTAAAGAATCCGGTACAATTTTAATATTTCATCAATATTATTAAAGACACGACTTTAATGAATTTTTAAAAATACGATAAATAAAATTTTTTATTCAAAATTTTGGCAAATATAAAACTAATATATATATATTATACGTACGTTATTCAAATTTTTTACAAAAATATTGTTTTAATATATTTTAAAAATATTTAAGCAAAATATTTGCGACGATATAAAAAGTTTTATTCAAGATTTAATTTTTGTTAATTTTTTAAATATATCAAAATTAAAATTTCTAGCTAAATAGAATTTTTATCTTAAAATACAGACAATAAAAAATTTAAATTGGTATCAAATTTTCGAATTTTAATTTTGTACTAATTATTAATAAATTTACAAAAATTATTGACAAAACAAAACTTTTAGAGCAATCTCCCAGCTCTAGCCCTTATTTTCAACCCCTTTGCTACAAATATTGAGATTTGTTTAAACAAAAATATTGTTTAAACATTTTTCCATAGTTTTTTTTACAATTTCACGTCTATAAACTAAAATTTATAATAATAATTATTATTATTCCATTTGCGAGTCATGCGCTCATGATAATTCTCATGTGATTCTTATTAGCATCCAATTGTTAATTCAATATTCTCGCAAACAAACGGCGCGTCATTTGCAAAATATTAAAAAAGGCGTAGAAAAATTTGAAAAATATTTATGGAAAATTATGTATATGATTCATAAGGGGGCAGTGGACTTATTTTTGCAAATTTTATTTTTTTGGAAATTTTAGTTTTTGCATAATATTAAATCAAAGTCGAGTCACGAGGCGAAATTAAAAATGATATTATTGACATTGAACTTTTAGTTTTAATAAAGATCAAATTTTTTTTAGCAAAAATATTAAATTATATCATAGGCAGATAAGGAATTGAATCTAACTTAGCGTATATTATTTTATAAATATATTTATTCAAAATTTTAGAACAAAAATTTTATTTTTTAAGAAATTGGATTTTTCTTGAATATTTTTTTCTAAACATTATTTATACAGTATTTTAATTTATATATATATATATATATAATTAGATATTTATTAGACATAATTAATATAAATAGAGTTAAGTTTAAAATTAATTATTTTTAATGTGAATTTAATATATAAACCAATGTTAAGAAAGTTGTATATAATAAAAATTTTATATAATTCAATTTGTTAATTTTATTTTATATTTATTATTTCAGTTTATTATTATAACTTTGATTAAATATATTTAAATTAAATTATGACACATTGTTTTAACTTAAATTAATTTTTTTTCAACATTTTTTCAGACAACTTCTTGAAGCAGTTTTCTAAGAAAAATTATTAATTTTCTAAAAATTTCGAAATAGACAAAAAACTCATAAATTTTAATATTCAAAGTATAACTTGTTTAAACTATAAAAATATTATAAATATACTTCCATAACTTGTTTAAAAATAAAATAAAAGTTTTATAAACATTTTCTGAAATATGTCCTAAAGTAACTCTTGAAGTACATTTCATACAAAAAAATATTATTATTTCTTAATAAACAAAAACAAAAAATTTTTTAGTACTAGATATTTAAGTATGTATTCTGAACATTAATATATCAAAATTACATGATTTTATTATTAAAAATACAGCCTGCAGAGCTCCTTAAAATCCCTAAACTCCCAAAACTAATTTTCTAAACAAATCCAAGACTTGGCCAAACACTTTTCCATTATTAATTTTATTATTTGCAACTCCGTCTATAAATATTTATATTATATTTTTTTATTCCCACAACTCAATATTTTCTCATATTTTGTCGATAATTATTTAAATAAATATCTAAGTGAATTTAAAATTATTTTTCGGCACCTTTACGAAATCTTGTACGATTTTTGTTTCAATTAACACTTTTTTAGGAAATAGAGAGTTATTGCAAAATATCGATATATTTGACGATTTAATAAAAATTCATCGCATTTTAAAATAAATATAAACAGTAATAAATGGATTATTGAAAATTATAAAATGATTTTTATAAAATTTTACATACTAACATTGTTAATAAAGTACATGTTAATTCATATGGTTTATATCAGAATTCAATTTCAACGAGCTCTCAAGGATACACAGTTAATGCCAAGTTGTTGTAATTTGAGAAAGATATTTTTCAATCTAAATACAATTTTAGAAAAATAAAAATTGATTTTATTTCCTAATAAAATTTGAGTTATTAAACTTTAACTAATGAAACTACACAACATTGCATGAAAATTGATTGATCGATTTTAACGAGCTCTTCAGACCGTACAATTAATACGACAATGTTGTAATTTGAATAAATTTTTATCAATCCATATACTATTTTAGAAAAATATAAAATGAAAAAAAAATCTTGTGCGATTTGATATATTAAAACTTAACCAAAGATGTGTACTTTTTCACTTGGAAATTATTTAAAAGTACTTTAAACAAATTTGTTTTCGAAGAGCTCTTCAGGACGCATTTTGCATCTGACGACGTTGAAATTCGAGTATAATAAAAACAAATATATATATATTATTTTATAAAAATATAAAACAAACAAAATTTCCTGAAAATTTATCCCAAGTATTTATTTCTAGGTGGGTTCGTCTAAAAAACAACTTTCTGACCATAAATGATATAATAACCACATTTATTATTTACACAATTTATTAACAGCACTAATGTACAATGGAAATGTTACATTGAACGATATGTTATTGTTTATTTAAACAATTACCGAAAAGAATAGATTTTGCAACTTAAAAATCGAAATATTTAGCATAAGAATATAATAGAATATTTTTTCGGTAAATTCTAAAGAAAAAATCCATTGAGGAAAAATTGTTTGGATTGGAAATTTATCTAAATGATTTAAAATTATGCATAAAACTTGTATCAATTTTTATGTACATTTTAGTGTATATTTTTGTATGCTTATTTATTATAAATAAAAATGAAATATACTGTTTATTATACCCTATCACAGCAAATACTATGTAAAAAACTTTGCCTTGAATTAAAGGTCTATTTTCAATTACGATTTTAAAGTATACCGAGTTGTTGTAGGTCACTATAATATTAGATAACATTATAAACAATTCAATTTTAAACAAATTTACCAAATATTTCATTAATTTTAGACAAACCGTTCAAAAGCTACAAAAGATATAATACATAAAAACATATTTAAGTTGACTCTTCACAGTGCACTTTCATACTTAGGATACTGGATATCTAATTTCAAAGCGGATTTTAAAATATACCGAGTTACTGTAGAGTTTTACAATATTAGACAATATTATAGACCATTCAATTTTAAATAAATTTACCAAATATTTTATTTATTTTGAACAAACCGTTCAGAAGTTACAAAAGATATAATAAATATAAGCGCATTTAAATTGACTCTTCACAGTGCATTATCATTCATTTATCTAATTTCAAAGAGAATTTTAAAGTATACAGAGTTGCTATAGAGAAGATGTTTGATATTAGACAATATTATAGAGCATTTAATTTTGCATATATTTACCGAATATTTCATTAATTTTAGATAAACCGTTTAAAAGTTACAAGGGATATAATAAAAAATGCAAATCCAAAGTTCATATTTGAGGATTTTTTCAGGTCGCACCGTTTGTACTACAAACTGTAGTTTATATATACATATATACATACATATTTATATATAGACAAAAATATAAATTCAAATAACTTACCTTTAAATTCCAAAAGATTCTAATAGATGCCATAACGTGTTATTCATGAATCCAAAGAAAAATCTTTCTTGCAAGATGTATTTGTCCAGGCGCACTTCAGAATCTTTTATTCATACAAATTATATAAAAATATAATAACAACAATAAATAATAAATGTTTAATTCTGCATAGATATTAAAATCAACAAAATGTTTATTATCCAAAAAATTGTAACTTTTTAACATGATTTAACTTCGTTTTTTATTCTAATTATAACACCAAAATAAATTATTTTAGCCACATATACGAAACTAATTAAAATAAATAATACATTAATTAACACTTAATATCCGATATAATTAAAGAACAAAAATTATTCCAGTAACCACAGATTTTTTTAATTTAAAATATTTTTTTAGTTAAATCCTTACACAAATTTTGTGACACTAAACTGGATAAATTTCAGTTTAATATTTCAAACATTTTATATATTAGGTTGTCAAATATCTCCCTTCCGCTTTTTTGCTCTTGGTTTATAATACAAAAAGGCGGAAGGGAGATATTTGACAACCTTATATATACATATTTGTATACTATTATTATTTTATAATAAATATTCGGTATTAAAATTACTTACAATAAATCCGAACGCCTGCGAATTAGAATCTGATAAGAATCCTTGCAATTTATGCATTTATATGCATTTTTGGTTGCATAATTGAAATGATTGTACTAAAATTTAAAAAATCAGTGATGTATTAGAGTAAAAACATACTTATGTTAATCCAAATTATTTATGTTTTATATATAAGTTACAATTTTTATAATTTTTTAATATTTCCACAAATTTGTCAATTTAATTAATTGTTCAATTAATTTAATAAATTTAATGCACGACTTTATTTTTATTTATATAGATTTAGTTATATTTAGTAACAAAATTTTGCTGTAAATTATAATATATATAATGAAATATTAACCAAAATTTGTTTTCAATACTAATTATTATTTATCATATTATTATTTCATGCATTTTCGTTATATAAATAAAAATTTTGTTCTAAAATTAATTGTTTGCTTCAAAATTTAATACAAAAACTTGAAAATAAAATTACAAATATTATTACAAAAAAGTATTAAATATGCATATATATATATATATATATATATATATATATATATACGTATATATATATATATTATATATATATATATATATACTAGCCGGCCCGACAGACTTCGTCCTGTCAAAAAAAATTGTAATGTGGCGGTGTTTTGTGCCTACCTTTTTTCTATTCTTTGCAAAAAATTATCCTGAACAGAACCGTCACCCTGGCAATAATTCGGAGTGAATTAAAAATAATTAAATAAAACACTATAAGCATTTAAAAGTAAGTAATTTTAATAATGTAAATCATAATGAAAAAATCAGTTCAATTTTCATTGTAGGGTTTTTCTAAATTAATACCACAAACAAACATAGGTTATCTAAATTAATACCACAAACTCCTAATGATACCATAAACGCACTGGAAACGCAATGGGATGCATGGTGCGAGAACATCTTCAGCTTTATACTATCCTTTGAATATAGTTGGTCGATTTTTCGCAACATTATAATTGCCGATCCAACCTTTAATTGAAGATTGTGAGGTGACAATCCTAGCAAATCCAGCGAGTTTAGAAACTCCGGTGGATCGTCTTGGTTAGTTGCCGAATCAACTGATTCGCCTGTAATTTGTTCTTGAATTTTGAAATTTAATTAATTTACATCAATGTTTTTGGCTGCCAATATAGCTTGATTAATAGAAAGATATTTCTATGTTTATATAAATATATTCAAAATTAGATTATCAAAAACTACACAAAATGTCATGACATAGATCATTGTTTTTTTTACAAATTGCGTTGCCTACTCGATTAAAGAACAAAAGGGCTGTTTTTAGGATTTTACCGGCAACTATTCGTTTTTTTCTCGCCGTAACAACCATCCTTGGACTTCAACGAACATTTTAAAAAAAGAATTGGTCAAATTGGTCCAGGCGTTATGAAGTTATGCGCTTACCAACACATTTTGCGATCCATTTTTATATATAAGAAGATATATATATATATATATATATATATATATATAATAAATTATGTTAAAAACATTTTTGATACAAACTTTATTCAAATATGAGTATAATACATTTTTCTGAGTATATAATTTAAAATAACTTACATGTATACTAATATAAGTTTATTTGATATACAAAATATATTTATAAAGATATTTTTCAAAATATTTCTTAGGAACTATAAATAAACATTATTGTTATAAATAACTAAATTAAATATATATATAAATATATGACAATTTATATATTAAATTTTTATTTATAAACACAATATTTTTGGTGGACAAAGTTCTAGATTATTATGTTTTTGTATAAAATAATTTTAATACAAAAATTGGAATAATAAATGAAAGTTGAGTTTTAGTTTTATTTTTATATATAATTTTTTAAAACTCATTCTATTTTTTTCTTGATAATACTATTGTGGAAAATAAATACATAATAAAAATTGGTAATAGAAATATATGTGTAGACAAAATTTAATTTGTTTAAAATAATTTTATTAACAATATAAAAAATTAGTACAAATATTTTAAAATTTAAAGTTAGTGTTAAAAAAATATTTATGAGTACTTATCATATGATGTCATTTTTAAATAATATCCATTGAAAAAATAGGACAAATATTTAATTTTAAATATATAAAAACAAAGTTGTATAAATGTTTGATATTATTGAAAAATTAAATAAAAATATGACATTATTACATTGAACAAATGTAAAACGTTGCTTAAAATTAACAAATTCAAAGTATTTTGATTGTCTTAAATTTTTGTATAAAATTATTAAGTTAAATATATATATATATATATATATATATATATATAATATATATATAATTATATATAATAATATATATAATTTTTTATCTTTTCCTATGATGAAGTAAAATTTCTAAAATCCGAAACATTATTCATAGATCTTATAGAATCGTATTTCATATCAAAAGCACTCAAAATAACGTTTATTACGACTGTTACAATATTTAGGGACAGACAAATATTATTCCCTAAATTGGCCCTGTCCTGTTGCTGCAATTTATTTATGTCCAGGGCCGAACCTAAAATTACACAAGCTATCCCTTGCAGACACTAAAATAAAAATAAAATAAAATAACATAAATAAATAATAAAAAAACATAAAAATACATAAATAAATAAATAAATAAATAAATAAATAAATAAAATTTGAAAATATAATGTTAAAAGTGATGAAAGAAAGCCTGATAATTTTTAAATTAATAAAAAATTAAATATTGGACCCATAAAAATTAATTTCTCAACTTTTTACCAAAATTTCCGTAGGGTAGTCTCGACGTTTTGAAGGTTTCTGAACATTTTGACATACCTAAGAAAAAATGGATGTTTGGGTGTGTGTGTGTGTGTTTTGTATGTTCGCATTTTTTCGTCCACGTTTTCGAGCGCACGGATTAACCGATTTGAATGGTTTAAAAAACATTCGATTCTTATTGATAGGTAGATGTGCTGATTAGTTTTTGGCAGAGGCAGGTCCAGCTGTTACGGAGATATGGAGCAAAGAGTGCAGAAAATACAAATCGAGTTTTTGAGAGGACGGAGTATCGGATTTGAATGATCTAAAAAACATTCAATTTGTAATGATTGGAAAAAGAGGTGATTAGTTTTTGGCAAAGACAGGTCCCGCTGTTTCGGAGATACAGAGCTAAATGTGCAAAAACTGGCAGTTTTTGAGTGAACTAAGCGTCCGATTTGAATGATCTAAAAAACTTTCTGCTTGTATTGACAAAACAATTGCTTTTGAATATGAAAAATTATTACACCTTTTTTATTTTTCATAAAATATTTTTGTAATTTTGGATTAAAAAATTCAAAAAATGACCCAGGCTAAGCACAGTCTAAGCGCCACTCTGGTACAAATGTTAACCCAAGCGCGTTTAGACTGTTTATATACAGGAGCACATTTCCAATTTTGTGAAAACAATTGAAAAAATGTGAAAATGCCGCCAAGCTAAGCACAGTATACGTGAAAATGTCGCACAGAATTATTTGCAAATGCGTTTAGACTGTGACTATACGGGAGCACTTTTTCAATTTTGTGTAAATTAGGCAACTATTTTTTTTTAAATTGAATTCGAAATGAAATGACGATCGTTAATGTAATAATTGATTTATGATTTACATTTGATTTGCTCAGATATAACAAGATGGCAAAAATAATGAAAGTTACAGTATTTGTAATAATATATTTGAAAACGTTTAAAATTTCTCGAATATTTCATTACGGTACGGGAAGTTCCAGCAATTTGCCTTAAGGCACGATGCCATACATTACTAGTTATAATAAAACTTTATACCCTATATTCATATTTCACATTAATAAAAATCAATAAATTAAAAAATAATTCAAAAAAGATCTAAATAAAATAACATGTGCATTCACACATTCAATTTTCAACTATATTTCCTGAAGTATTTGCAACATTTTTCTCAAAATTTGCAAATCCAAAATTTATTTTACTATAAATTCTTTATTAACACTATTTTGTTTATTATTTGTATAATAAGGCCCAATATTCATTTTAACGACATCACAAATTAAAGTTCCCATAATAAAACCTAAGGCTGTCTGGTTCAAAATCCTGGTGACGTCATCAGCCTGGTCACCAGGACGATGATGACCATAAATCGTTAAAATTGCGTTCAAAATTGCGGCCAAAACCTAACCAAAAAAATTATAATAATAAATTACAAAAAATTTAACACATTTTTGATTTTATATACAAGTTGTTATTCCCTAGTACTACTATTACTATTACTATCTATTACAAGGGTGTGTCTCCATTTATAATAGTTTGCAAAGGATAATTCGAGTGTTCCATTCCGAATCCTGATATAATAACATTTATTAAAGATATTACAAACACCAAAATCAATATGATGTCGTTCAATATAATTGCGGCCAATTGGTCGCCACTTCTGTTGATGTTCAGGCCACCAATTGCGATAAATAAAATTCCGACAATTATCTGTGATAAAATCAAAATCAATTTAAGTATTTGTCTGAGGTAAATTGTATGTTTGACAAATTTGTTTAGAATTGAATTATGTATAATATTGTCTAATATTGTAAAACCCTACAGCAACTCGGTATACTTTAAAATTGCATTTGAAAATAGACAATCAGTGTGAGCGCATTTAACTGCAGTATAGCGATTTTAGGAACAGCGCGTTAGCGCATTTTTTTATTGTAACTTTTGAAATGTTTGTCTTAGACATATGTTACATTAGACAATTTTTTTTTAAATTAAATTGTCTATATTATTGACTAATATTATATTTATCTACAGCAACTTGGTGTACTCTTAAAATGCATTTGAAAATGGAATTACATTTGCAGATTTTAAGCATAAATAAAGAGCAACACTATAGTATATCCTTCATAACTATTAAACCAATTGAGTTATTTGAATTATGTAAAAGACGAAATTATTTAAAATTAAACAACGTATTACCTCGTCTAATAAAATGATGCTCCGCAGCAACTCAGTATACTCTAAAATTTTTATTCATATCTAAAATTTAAATATAAATTTAAATATACAATCCTGACTCGTTATATTCTTGCCAAAATGTAACACTTTGATTTATGTTCGATAACTTTAAAACCAATCGATTTACTTAAGTGATATGAGATCAAAATTTGTTTGAAATTGAATAATCTAAAACTTTATCTAATATCACAAAACTTTAAAGCAACTCGGTATACTTTATAATTAACTTCAAAAACCCCAACAAAATATAATCCCCACGCGTTGTTGTTACCAAAATTCAAAGCTTTAATATATCTGTCATAACTTTTAAACCATTGGATTAATATAGATGATGTAAAATGTAAATTTGTTTAAAATTACATGATTTATAATTTTGTCTAACACCACAAGACCCTAAATCAACTCGGTATACTCTGAAAAGATCATTAAAAAAACAAATAAAATAATTTAAAATTAAATTAAACAAAATCAAATAAATAAAGTGCAGTACTTATCGTTTATAACTTTCGTATATCGTTTATAACTTTCAAACCATTCGATTAATATGAATGATGTAAAAAGCAAATTTGTTTAAAATTACATGCTTTATAATTTTATCTAAGAACATAAATCCCTACAGCAACTCGGTATACTCTAAAATCGTCATTAAAAAACCAAATAAAATGATAAAAAATAATTTAAAATTAAATTAAACAAAATAAAATAAATAAAGTGCGGTACTTTAGTATATCTTTTATAACTTTCAAACCATTCGAATAATATGAATGATGTAAAAGGCAAATTTGTTTAAAATTACATGACTTATAATTTTATCCAACAACATATATCCCTACAGCAACTCGGTATACTCTAAAATCGTCATTGAATAACCAAATAAAATGATAAAAAATAAATAAAATTAAATAAAATGAATAAAGTGCAGTACACCTAAGTCTGTTTTTACACGGTCTTTTTGTACACGGTTTGAAAATTGAATATTTTTAATTTTTTTACACGATTTTATTCCATTTAGCACGATTTGAAATTTTATGTACTTAATTTTTTTTGTCAAATTTAATTTTTGCGAAGTATGTTCATATCACAAAAAAGTATTTATGAAAGAAAAAAGTCTGAAACCATCGATAGTATCGATAGTTTGCGAATACCAGCTTAAAGATTTAAGTGAATTTTATTTTTTTATTTTATATTTTTAAAAATTGAATGACCTATTCTTTTCGTTCACAACATAGTTTTTTAGTTCCTGAACTTGCCATACATTTAATTTATATTACTTTTAAGATTAGAGTGCATATCTTTTTTATCATTAATTACTATGCTTGTGAAAAAAAGCATTATATATTTGATTTAATAAAATAAACATGAATTCTTGTTCTTAAAAATTCTTGTTTTTCACTAATTTTAATAGATTTTAGAGATTAGGAACAAATCACCCATTTTTGTATGAGATCAATGTCTTTTTTTGCACTTTTTTTTACACGGCTTCTTCTGGAACCAATCTACCGTGTAAAAACAGACTTAGATGTACTTTAGTATATCTTTTATAACTTTTAAACCATTCGACTAATATAAATGATGTAAAAAGCAAATTTGTTTAAAATTTAATAATCTACAACTTTGTCTAACACCACAAAACCCTAAATCAAATCGGTATACCCTAAAATCGACCTTAAACATCAAAATAAATGTATTAGGTTGTCAAATATCTCCCTTCCGCTTTTTTGCTCTTGGTTTATAATACAAAAAGGCGGAAGGGAGATATTTGACAACCTAATACATTTATTTTGATGTTTAAGGTCGATTTTAGGGTATACCGATTTGATTTAGGGTTTTGTGGTGTTAGACAAAGTTGCAGATTATTTAATTTTAAACAAATTTGTCTCTTACATCATTGATATTAAACGAATAGTTTAAAAGTTATAAAAGATATAATTATATCGATTATCTATTTATCTATTTATCTAACAATTGATAACAGATATATCGAAGTGTCGATGGGTCGAAGGCGCTTATTATTAAATTTAAGGAGGCGACTGCGAAGGCGCAGGCTGTGGTTACGTGATTTATTACTTCGGCCGAACGATGGTACTCCTTCAGGTGCATTTTGCAATCCCTCAGCAGGTTCAAAGTCAACGAAATTACACCGATCACAACCTTAAAGGTTAATAGAAAAGAAATAAAAATAAAAATTTATGTTAACCTCATTTGTCTCTATTAACACACCTTACTCGTTTATTGTCTCTAATGACACTCTCTACAATATTCATCTCTATATGTCACTATTTGTTTCCCACATTATATAATCTACTTTTTGGTTATTATTTATATGTCAACGCCATGTATTTGTTAAAATTTAAAAAAATATTGTTGCTAAATTTCAAAACTCATTTAAGTATTCAGATTCTATTAAAAAGGGCCTTTCAAATGATACCCCACATGCCATAAAAATTACTATCAAAAATTTTTGAAGTAAAACTTCTTTTCACCCTCTACTACAAATTCGTGAAAAGTGTATATTTTGTAAGCAAAATACACCCGACAGATTGATAGAATGAAATTAAATTTATATATTAATACATGGTGTCCCAGAATTCAGCGTCAAAGTTGAAAGGATCGAGAAAAATCAGAAGAAATCTTTACTATGCACTTTGAAAATTATGAGTGTTTATGGATTTGGTGAAATTTTGTTTATATTTTAATTTGTGGTTAATTTTTATTGATTTTGTTCAATTTTTTATTAATAGAATAGAGTTATATTTATATATTGAGATGTCCCAGAGTTCAACGTCAACGCTAAGAGAATAAATAAATCAGAAAAAAATCTACATTATGCACTTTGAAAGTTAAGAGTTTTCATGGTTTTGGTAAAATTGTGTTGATTTTTTATTTTTGTGGTTATTTTTTATTTATTTCGTTCATTTTTTTATTAATAGAAGAGAATTATATTTATAATAATATCGAGTGTCCCAGAACTCAACGTCAATGGTAAGAGGGTTGAAAAAAAAAATTTTTAAATTTTATTAGGCACTTTGAAAGTTTTTATGGCTTTGGTGAAATTTTGTTTATATTTTAATTTGTGGTTAATTTTTATTGATTTTGTTCATTTTTTTATTAATAGAAGAGAATCATATTTATATATTAATACAAGATGTCCCAGAATTCAACGTCAACGGTAAGAGAATAAATAAATCAGAAAAATCTACATTATGCACTTTGAAAGTGATAATTAGAAAGATTTATTCAAGAGAAAGATTTGATTTTTGAAAATATAATCGATATTTTCTACGAGTTTCATTAAAAAATTTCTACTTTTTTGGAAGATCAATATTTTTGTTCAGATTTGTTTGAATTTTTTTCTTGTTTGATAATGTTTTTCATTTATATTCTCAGTTTTTTTTTCATAAAATCACATAAATTTACATAGAAATTTGTTATATTTTTAACAAAATAACTGACCCTATCAGCCCCCAGATTATAAGGTGAATAAAATATTAGACCTTGAACTATTAGACAGATTTGGTTAAAATTTTATTATCTATGATAATTTTTCATATTGTAGGTTAGGTACAGCAACACGGAATACTTTAAAATTGCATTTGAAAATAGACATATTTGTTTCTGTTTAACCCACAATGCTATTTAATAACGTTGTAAGGAAGTGCACTTTTTTGAAAAAATATTTTTCACACAAATTTTTGTATGACATATTAATAAATGAATTAACATTTTGTATAGCCAATAAAATTGTCCTTGTTATAGTATATAAAAATGTGTACCTTACTTAATAAAATATATAAAAAAATTTGACTTCAAAAATTGATCATTAACGCTTCTACGCATTTTTCTTCAGAGGCATATATGTATTAATATTGATGCTCTATTTTTTTATATCTTTTGTAACTTCTAAACGATTTGATTAATACAAATGTTGTTTTTGGGAAATTTGTTTAAAATTAAACAGTCTACAATATTGTCTAACATACAAACGCCTTTAGTAACTCTGTATACTTAAAAAACTGTTTATAAAAAATATTACCATCAAAAGTTAATTTTTCTCTTATACTTGAGATAAGAATTAGGGTATTCTTTTACTATTAATTAAATAATTTTAAATAAATTGTAATCGGTTAATTAATTTCCTTTTTGAATATTTCGAAAACCAATCAGGTTGAGATAAATCGAATCAATATCATAAAAAATCAAATACTAGAATAGGCTTATACTAGCAGCTCCCTGATTAAATTTTAAACCTTGAACTATTACAAACACCCTTATTATTATCATTTGGTATTCATATTCAAATCAATAATACTTATGTGACAAATGGTTTCCTAGAACAAAATTACCTTTCAGGAATACCTTCACATATTTATAGAATATTCAAAGCCGTATTAGTTAAATTGCCTTAAAAATCTGTATGGGAAGTTCTTAAAAAAAATTTGAAAATATTTTCAGAAACAAACGAATAGTCTTGATAAATTTTCTAAATTTTTTTCTCACCTGTAGAATTATGGAAATGGAGATCAAAGTCAACATAAGGGTGTAAAATTCGTGTTTTTCCCCAACTTGTAAAATATATTTGAGTTGACTTGCATTGGCAGTCAGAAGGGCGATGTCCAACATCCCTTGGGCAATCGTTTTTTTGGTGGCATATCGATTTGCGTCCAAAGATTTTAACTGAAAAAAAAACTTATGTAAAAATCCGTAAACCAAAACCTCTTTAAACACTACATAATTTTCTAGTACTATTTTTTATCTTTATTTACCGAAAAAAAATCCGATTGCGAATTATTAGTAGTATTCACCCCACTAGTACTACCGCCTGTATTATAAGTCGATCCTCCGGGTTGTGTATTAATTCTTGTAGAAGAATTATTTTGTAAATTTTTTTTAACCATTTTGAAACACACTTTAAAATGTCTAATTTAATTTAAAATAATAATATTTATATTATTATTATTTGAAAACACAAACAATCGATACTTTAACTTTACTGGGTGAAGATCGCGATTAGAATGGAAACAATGTTATCAATGGACTGATTTTCAAATACCTAAATTGAAAATATCTTATCAAATTGAGACGAATTTATTGTGTATATGTATATATATATATATATATATATATATATATATATACTTAATATTTCACAAATTTGTGAACAATTGTGTGAAGTATAAATATTTATATTAACAGTTTCACGGAATATTTGGATTTTAAAAGACAATTTACATTAAAGCATCCTAGTTTTATTTATTTATAATAGACTGATTAATTTTGACCAAATTTGTCAAATACAACATTTAAATTAATCGAATGGTTTAGAAGTTACAGGAAATATAAAATTTATATTAACCCATATTTTCCTGAGACTTGCTTAATGCAAACTTTGTAATTTCAGATGTTGGATCATTTTAAGAGTATACGGAGTTGTTCTAGAATCTTATAATATTAGACAATATTGTTAAGTATTAAATTTTAAACAAATTTGCCGAAAACATCATTTAAATTAATCGAATGGTTTAAAAGTAACACCAGATACAAACTTCATATTACAGCTTATTTTACTGGGACTTGCTTTATGCAAACTTTGAAATTTCAGATGTTGGAGCATTTTAAGAGTATAAGGAGTTGTTCTAGAGTATTATAATATTAAACAATATTGTTAGGTATTCAATTTTAAATAAATTTGCCTAAAACATCATTCAAATTAATCGAAGGGTTCAAAAGTTATAAATATTTTTCCAACTGATGGAAATTTTCTTTGCAGAAACAACGTACCAAGGTATAATTTTTATTCCTAAAAACATTTTTAAAAAATCTTAAATTTTATTCAAATATTGAATCATACTTTTGTACAAATTTTCGAATGTTGGTTATTCACTAAACTAGTTGCCAAAACCTGATTTTGCAATTTGTTATCAAATTAAACCTGACAATGGTTCATTATTCAAACATTTCCAAATGTTGCGTTTTTATTTAGACATTTTCGATGACGAATTTTAGAGATAAAAATTGTACAAGTCGAGATCAGTCTGAAATTGAAAATCAAGATTTGATATGAGGATTATTCATTTATAAATAAATAATGAAATATTTGGTACCCAATACTATTAGGTATTTTTTATTACTAAAGTTTAGTAATCTTACGTAATTGATTTTATACAATTTTATTGTGTTTATGCTCTGTGATTGAGAATAATTATAACTTTTACTCTTGTTTAAAATTAACCAAGAACTAGCAAACTATTTCTCAATGTTAATTCCAACAAATGTAGGTTACTTATATCGTGAGTCATTGAAAAATGAATCATCTTAATAAAATACTTGTAAATATTTTTAAAAAAATATTAATTAAATCAAAATATTATAAAATAATATATAAAAACTCTAGTGTTTCTCAGTCAGTCATTTTTCAAAAGAATTTTTATTCTAAAAAATTTAGTAGGTATAAAACAATATATTTTTATAAATTATCTCATTAAATGTTTAGATAATTTTTTTTAAGATATTTTTAACAAATGCAGAAATAAGTAAAAAAACTTCTCTTAATTTTTAGCCTTTTAGGTAATTCTATCAATTTTCATCCCTCATAAAATAATAAATTTTCTGAACTAAAATCTATTTAGTTAGATTCACCCATATTTTTTATTTGAATTTTTTGAACCAATTGTTTTTGTATTTTAATTTTTTATAATGCAAAATTGAAAAATACATACAACTCTAAATATTTCACCCTCGTACAATAAATTTACTGCAATTTATTTAAACCAACTGAATATTTATAAATTCACCAATAGTCATTCTCTTGGATATTTTGAATTTTAATTTTTGAACCAATTTTTTTTAATTTTAATTTTTATAATCGAAATTAAAAATTACATACAACCCTCAATATTTTCCACCCTCCTAAAACAAATTCTCTACAAATTATTTAAACTAAATTATGTATACTCATAATAATATTCTTTGATTTTTTAAACCATTTTTTTTATTTTATTTTTTTATAATGCAAATTTAAAAAATACATACTACCCTAAATTTTCACCCCTTTTACAATAAATTTACAGCAATTTATTTAATCCAACTAAATATTTATAAATTCACCAATAGTCATTATTCTCTTGGATATTTTGTATTCTAATTTTTGAACCAATTTTTTTTATATTTCAATTTGTTATAATGCAAAATTTTAAAATACATGCAATTCTAAATTATTACCCTCTAACAACAAATTTATTACAATTTATTTAAACTTACTAAATATTTACAGATTCACCCTTAATAATTGTCTTAAAATTTTAGTACCATATTTTTTGTATTTTAATTTTTACAAAACATTTGTTATAATACAAAATTAAAAAATGCATACCCTAAATTCTCACCCTTTTACAACAAATTGAAAGCAAATTATCTAAACAAAATAATATATTTATGAAATCACCTAAAATATTTTTTCTTAATTTTTTATATCATTTTCTTAATTTTAATTTCTTATAATGCATAAGGAAAAATCCATGCAACCCTAAATTTTCATCTATCCACCTAGTATTTTTTTTTGAAATAATTAATTTATTTTATATAATATATATATATATATATATATATATATTGATTGTTTTGGAGATGTTTTTATAAAAAATGCATGTTTAGAAGTACTTGTATTTTTTCCTGATGCCATAAAAGGAGGATATTTGCATGACTGCACATCGGAAATGAAGACGATCGTATTAAAGGTCGTCCCTGATGGTTTATTATTAGAAATTTGCTGAACTGATTTTTTAATTTAATTACTAGATAATATATATATATATATATATATCAATTAATTTACCCTTTCATCCCTGTCCATGGTAGTCAATTCAGGCGAAATAGCTGCTGCCATATTCTGTTTCAAACGGAAACCCCACATGAATATTGATTATCAACACTTTGGATTTATTATACGAATTTTCATTAGAAACACTATCGTTTTTATCATCGATATCAATTCTGTAGACTTTCTGGAATTTTTTAAAATTATTTTTGATATTTATTTGTACTTGTTTGTATTTTTAATTAATTTTTTTCCAGAGCGTTGTTGTTCGCTCTTCGAAAGTTTTCCTGAGACTGAAAATGCCATGGCGACGGTTTGTGTTTGGGTTTCAGGGTAATGGATTTATATATGGTAATGGATGTATATATATATATATATATATATATATATATATATATAATGATTCTTAAGACGTCTATTTAAATCCTGAAATATTTATTTTTAAGTGTATATATTATAAAAAAATAAAAACGTCCAAACGAATCAAGTGCAAATATTTATGCATTAATATTATTTTTTATACTAAAATTATTTTTATTTTAAAAAAATGTAAATTTATGATAGAACACAATTCAAATAAATGCTGTGAATTATAATATTTATAATAACTTTATAATTTGCTTTCATAAAAAAATTTATACTTTTTTCAGAACAAAATTATATTAATTTTGCCTTCAAAATATGCCTTTAGAATTATTATTTAATTAATAAATTATTAAATTAAATTGATAAATTATTATTTATGAATATATAATATTAAAACAGTATTATAATTATTCTTGAGACATTTTTTTAAAATCCTAAAATATTTATTTGGGTTATTGCAAAAGAAAACACTTACCAAAATAATATTTTTATAGAAAAATTTTCTGTACAAAATTACATCTGCTGTATTTTTTTTTCAATGTTATGACTTCATGAAAAATAAAATATTTATTATTTAAAGTATTTAAGAAATTCAAATTTTAATTATATAATTCGAATAAAATTAGGTGATTCAATTAAAATTTTGTTTTATAATATTTTATAAATAATTAAAAATGTTTCGTAAAATAGTTGTTTTTTTTGTAAATTATTATTTTACTGTAAATTATTATTACTTTGCATATTATTTAATTTGTAATAAGTCTATTCAATTTTTTACTTACACTACACAATTAGTTAAAAATTTAAAAATTGCTATAAAATTTTAGTATTTTCAAAATTATTTTTTGGGTATACCGAGTTGATGTAGGGTGTTATAGTATTAGACAATATTCTAGATAATTCAATTTAGTACAAATTTGTCAAATATTTCGTTAAAATCAAATAGTTTAGAAATTACAGGACAAATTATAAATAAATGCATGAACGAATTACTATAAGCAAATGCAATTCCAGAATGCTCGATAACAACCCCATTGTTTGGGGACGATTTTGAAGTATACCGAGTTGTTGTAGGGTTTTATAATATTAGACAATATTATAGACAGTTTAATTTTCTATAAATCGTTTAGAATTTACAAGACATATACCAAATAAATACATAAACGACTTATTACGTAAGTGAATGTACTTCTGAAGCCCTAGGATAAAATATCTATTTTCAAATATTAATTTAAAATACATCGAGTTGCTGTAGGGCATTATAGTGTTAAACAATATTCTAGATAATTCAATTTTGTACAAATTTGTCGAATATTTCATTTGCACCACATAAACCCTTTACGAGTTATATCATTTAGAACAAATATTGTATACATGAAATTTCAATGATTCTCCAATTAGAACTCAGATTTTTTCTACCAAAAAATTTATAAATTCAAAAGCCAAATTTTTGTTGGTAATTATATATTATTCCACCACTTAATAATATTATTTACACAATACAAATAATACAAATCACTTCGAAGACTTTCTGAGATTTTTGATAAAATGCAAATTTACAGATCATTTTGCAGACTTTTCGATTTTTTTTAATTAGTTTATATAATTAATGGAATTTTAATTAATTTATTCATTGGATACTGTTGAACAAATATATATATATATATATATATATATATTTAAATTTTAAATAAATCAATTTGCATTCAATGGCACTTTAAAATATTTGTTTAGAACAAAAATTGACTAAAACGAATGCAAATTCATTGATATTAGTTTTTAACAATTTTTATTTATATTTTTTTATTTATTAGTAATTTTTTTATTTTATCCTGAAAAACAAATTTAAATTTTGAATTTGCATCAATTGGCACTGATTTTCTCAAAGGCACTCTAATGGATTAATTAATTTTGGATCTCTGGAATTTTTTTTAAATTTTCTATTACCATTGGTATTGATTTAATCAAAGGCACCATATTATGTTAGTTTAGGAGAAAATTGGTTCTGGTTCTGGTTCAACAGTATCCAATTTTTTTTTTATTTTTCAATTTATGCCTTCTTCTTTCCTTGTTCCTGGATAAAGTCATAAATTATGGAGAAATCTTTGTCCCCAAGACCATGGGCGATGACAGTTGTGAAAAGTTGATGTGCCAAAGTTCCCAAAGGAATTGGTGTCAAGGTTGCTGATGCCACTCCGGAGGCCAAGCCCAAGTCTTTGTGCATCAATTTGGTCTGGAAACCACCTGGATAAAACATATATATGGTTAGTTCCCAAAGAAACTGATCTAGAACCCAAAGAAATCGATCTAGGTCAGAAAGAAGTCTTGAAAACGATCCCAAAGAAAATAATCGAAATCTCGAAAAAACTGACTTCAGTTCCAAAGAAGTCTTGAAAATCCCACCCAAATCCAAAAATACAGATGCAGGTCCTAAAGAAACCCAAAGAATCTGACCCACGTCCCAGAAAACCGATCCAAATTCCAAAAGAACCGATTTAAATCCCAAAAGTGTCATAAAATTTTTATATATGCTTGAAATAACGAGGTTGGTCTCTAGGAAACTAATCCTAGACCGAAAAAACACATCCAAATCTAATAAAATCGATCTAAAATCGAACCAATTATTAAAAAACCAAAGTAAGACTTGAAGAACTAAACTAAAGTCTCAGAAAACAACAAACAAGGTAACGTGAAATTGGAGCCAGACTTACAAAACCGATCCTAGATTCATAAAACCGATCCTAGAGTTACAAAACTAATCCTAGACTTACAAAACGAAAAAAAAATAAAAAAAATGAGAAAAAACTCCAAAAACTTGGAAATCCTATCCAGGACTTGACACACTCATCCAGGACTTGAGAAACCGATTCTGGACTTACAAAACCGGTCCTAGACTTACAAAACCGATCTTAGACTTACAAAACCGATCCTAGACTCACAAAACCGATCCTAAACTCACTTTATTGCTATTTTATTAATTTAATTTTTTTACGGTTTTAAATGAGTATAACTTTCAACCTTGTGCAAGAATTTTGAGCTTGACTGGTGGTCAAATAGACTTTAATATGATGAACTTGATGATGAACATTGTATTTAATATTCGAATGCTTTTTTTTTCAGCTCTTTTTTTCAGAAGCAAAATTTGTCCATCTACTATGATTATTATGAAATTACCATCCTTTGAATATTAATTATGAATAAGCTTGACAAGATCCTGAAATAATATCTATTATTATTGATTACGGTTTTCTTATGAATAAATAAATAAATAAATAAACAAAACCGATCCTAGACTCACAAAACCGATCCTAGACTCACAAAACCGATTCTAAGCTTATAAAACCGATCCTGGGCTTATAAAACCGATCCTAGACTTACAAAACCAAAAAAAAAGATAAAAAAAGACGAGCAGAAACTTCAAAAAGTTGAAAACCAATACAGGACTTGGGAAACTTATCCAGGACTCGGCAAATTCATCCAGGACTTGGGAAACTCATCCAGGACTTCAGAAAACACATTCAGGACTTCAGAAAACACATTCAGGACTTCAGAAAACACATTCAGGACTTCAGAAAACACATTCAGGACTTCAGAAAACACATTCAGGACTTCAGAAAACACATTCAGGACTTCAGAAAACACATTCAGGACTTCAGAAAACACATTCAGGACTTCAGAAAACACATTCAGGACTTCAGAAACCATTCAGGACTTCAGGAAACACATTCAGGACTTCAGAAAACACATTCAGGACTTCAGAAAACACATTCAGGACTTCAGAAAAACACATTCAGGACTTCAGAAAACACATTCAGGACTTCAGAAAAACATTCAGGACTTCAGAAAACACATTCAGGACTTCAGAAAACCCATTCAGGGACTTCAGAAACACATTCAGGACTTCAGAAACACATTCAGGACTTCAGAAAACACATTCAGGACTTCAGAAAACACATTCAGACTTCAGAAAACACATTCAGGACTTCAGAAAACACATTCAGGACTTCAGAAAACACATTCAAGACTTCAGAAAACACATTCAGGACTCAAAAACACATTCAGGACTTCAGAAAACACATTCAGGACTTCAGAAAACACATTCAGGACTTCAGAAAACACATTCAGGACTTCAGAAAACACATTCAGGACTTCAGAAAACACATTCAGGACTTCAGAAACACATTCAGGACTTCAGAAAACACATTCAGGACTTCAGAAAACACATTCAGGACTTCAAAAACACATTCAGGACTTCAGAAAACACATTCAGGACTTCAAGAAAACACATTCAGGACTTCAGAAAACACATTCAGGACTTCAGAAAACACATTCAGGACTTCAGAAAACACATTCAGGA